ATGGAAGGTGTCCCTGCCCATGGCAGGGGGGTTGGAATTAGATGATCTTTAAGGTCCCTTCCAACCCAAACCATTCTATGATATGGAAATCAATCACCAATTATTCACGTGAATTATTGTTTGTGGTTGTGTCACTGCTGGTTTTTATTCCAATTGTTAGTCACAAAAAAAAAGACTGATCTTGCCTAGTGTCTTAAAACAGCCCTATCCACAAATTTAAGCTACCTTAGCAAGATTAATTTTCCCTGCTTTCAAATGCTTTAACTATTATAGGTTTCTGTTTTCAATGTGTGTAATTGTTTTAAGTCTTTGTTTAGTAAAAAGCTAACTTTTATGAAACACACTTTCCTTAGATCAGTATTTCTAGATTACCTTTTTTGTTGGTGTTTGCAGATCAGTACTTGATATTTGGTGCAGAAGAAGGTATTTACACACTGAACCTCAATGAGCTTCATGAAACATCAATGGAGCAGGTATGTTTCTGTTTTGATATTTCAGAAAAAAAAAATTGACTTTTTTTAGCCACTGAAATTAATGTTATGTAATCTGTAAGAAATTGTCTTTGCTACAGTTACACAGGCACTAGCTACACTGAGATTTACTTTAAATGTTTTGTCTTGAGGATACCTTTCAGTCATGTTTAAGTTTTTTGTAGGCTGAACCATATTTAAGTAGGAGATCTGCATCTATCAATGTGTTGAACTTCATTGTAGTGTGTTGTCCTGCTGTTAAATGATGTGTTAAATAATATGGAATCTCCCTGATACATTTTGGATGAAAATTTCTATTTTCTTTAAAACTTAGTTACCAGATAGACTATTTGCAACAAACATTGTGTTTCAGCTACAGAGAAGCAAGGAGATCCTTTATATGCTGGTTTCAATCTTTTGGTCTTAAAAGCAGCTTTGCTGATGAGACTCGTCTTACTGAATCCCAGTTAAAACTCTGTCTTTGCAGAATCTTATAAATAGTAACTTTTTTGAGGGAGTAGTCGGAAAGGGGGAAATGCCAATTGCTGGCTTTTCTGTATGATGTCTTCTCCAGCTCTTTTGTTAATCTCTGAGACTTGTTTTCTTTCCTACCTTCTCCCTAACTTAGGGAGCTATGCATCTGCCATCAAGATGGAGGAATTTGCAAGGACAGCCTTCACACTGTAAGCTGGAGGCACTGGTGTTTGTTCATCTTTCAGGGTCCAGATGTTGTAGACATGTCCGTTATGTTGAGAAGAAGGCCTAGCTAGCTTGCACTGACCTCCATGTAACCCATAATCACACTGGTACTTGAGTTAACTGGTTTAAACTTAGCTCAGGTACCTCTTTGCTGCTGCATTGCAGTTGTAAAACCTACCCGCAGAAATATCACTAATACAATAATTCTCGTAGGCCAGGTAAACCAAGAAAGTTTTGTTTGCTTTTTTCTCTTGTGTTTGTGTTTGGTTTTTTTTTAATAATTTTATTTTATTTGTTTGTTTTTAGGTTTTTGTATGGGTTGTTTGTTTTGTTGGTTTTTTTTTTTAAATTGGCAAGGAGAATAGGTGTAATGAAACTCATGCTTTCATATTTGTCCTTTGTTTCTCTAAGCACCATGTTCTATAGTGCATTGCCTAGCGAACTTTTAGGGAAATGTTTTAATAAGCACTTAGAGACAAGAAGAGATGCTTGTAAAAACAGCCAGTCATGTGCAGAACAGGAAGAATGAGTGACAGGTCAGTCAACCTGCAAATTTTAAGTGTTGCTGTTCTTCTCTAATCCTTAGATGCAAACCTACTAATTCACAATACGCTTACACAGCTACAGAAGATCAATCAAAACTTGCACATTAAATTTGGATACAGCCAGGCTGGTAGATTATTACCATAATAATGGTGGTTCTTACAGTGTGTTTAGATTATGAGAAGACTTTAGGAATAGAAGTGCACTCTCTGCGCTAACCATTTATTACTTCGGTATTTAGGATAACAGGCAACAGGGCTTCAGTAGCATTTTTAGGTTCTGTTTTTCACATCATTGTTTACTCTGTAGATCTCGTACAATTCAGTGTAAAAGGAGAAGTAGTATGCTTGGTTATTTTTCACTACATTCCACTTCACTTACGAACAAAGCAGAAATAGTATACATTTCCAGGAGTTAGAACAGATTCAAGATGAGTCTCTTGCTCTTTGGCAGAAAAATATTTCAAATAATTTACGCATCTCTTCAAATCTTTATAATAAACCAGCAGTGAAGTGAGGGGTGGGTTTTTTTTTGGTTTTTGGTGGTTTGGTTTGTTGTTGGGGTTTTTTTGAGGGGGGTGGTGTGATTTACTTGTTTGCAGTGGAGTTTTGTTTTGGTTTTTTTAAGAGTAAAAGAAACATTCTTTTGAGTGGTCTGTCTAGCCCAATAGTCTATTTTCTAAAATGGAAGTACCCAAGAGCTTGACCACTGTCTGCTGTCCATTCTGTTCAGAGTCTCCTACAGTCATTGAATGGAGGATGTTGGAGGATCCCTGCCTCTTTGCTTTTTGTGTCCATTTATAGACCTGTTGGACATGAGTATGTCTAATCTGTTGTTTATACCTCCATGACCTCTGTTGGCAACAAGCTACAAAAGTTATGTGAGAGGGGAAAAAAGTACCTCTTTCTTTTAAAATATGTCTTCCTTTTTTTTTTTTTAAGGATATGTTGGTTTCAGTCCCATCTTTCTAGTAATTGTGGGATTTGACAAATAACAATTCTGCCTTGACTATTTGTAGCGTTACTTGATCACTTAAGTGAAATGTGTAATGAGATGCAGTGCCAGTTTTGTTTCAAGAGATTTGAACTGTCACAGGCTTTAGAATGGCTGTGGCTCGTAGACCATGCTTTGTTTACTGAAGGTTATGTTGTTAAGCTCTTCTTTGAAGGAGAAAGTTTGGTGGTTTTTAAAATTTTTGAAAAAGGATGGATTGATCTTCATAATGACGTCTTGTGGGCTAATTACAGTATACTTGAAGACATGCATATAAAACGTGCTAATTGTCTAAATGTTAATGTGTATGTTAAATATAGTGTATGTACCTAAGATTTACTCTGAATTAACTGTGGAATCCAGGTAAACATTACTTGGCTTAAGCTAATTTCTGCTACAAAAAGCAAGTCAATAGTAGTTTTGTCCTGTTGTCTACGCATATAGTAATTGATCAGCGTAATGTGCTCACATTTTGTGTATATCAAATTGAATGCTTTTCTTTCTTTGTTTTTCCTTCCCTTTATCAGCTATTTCCTCGAAGATGTACGTGGTTATATGTCATGAACAATTGCTTGTTATCAATATCTGGTAAGTTACTGTGCTATCTTTGAGTGGTAGTGCTGGTAAACATCTGATTTCGTATTTGAAGAGTAGTTTTGTTTTCTCACTTCCAGGTAAAGCTTCTCAGCTTTATTCCCATAATCTACCAGGACTCTTTGATTATGCAAGGCAAATGCAAAAGTTACCCGTTGCTATTCCAGCACATAAACTCCCTGACCGAATACTTCCCAGGTAAATACATGTCATGAACTATATCAGAATATCTTAATTCTGGGATCTTAGAATATGCTTGTCAAAGTCTCGTAATACCAAATAATGTGGAACTCTGTTCACAGATTGCCATGAATAACTCATATAGGCATTAATCAGATGGTAGACCCCTAAATTTACACAAATCAAGATGTGAAAATATTCTTATTAGAGAGATGGGTTTTGGTACATCTTACCTTCTTGTCATGAAGCCTCTTGTTTCTGGACATAGCTCTTTTCAGGTATAGTCTAGTATGGTAAATCCTGGGTGTACTTGATGCTAAACAAAATCTAGGGTCTGTATTGTACCGGTGGTATTTCAGGCAAGTAGAAATAGTGATCTTACATTAGTTACTATGAGACTACCTTTCTAGTCTATTAAAAAAAAAAAAAAAGTGGGGAATGTGTAATCTCTTACTGCAGAGGGAATGGGCTCATGCATTATTTTAAAAGCTGGGAAGAGTAGAACTGGAGTACAGATTTGATGCTCATCATTGGCTAGTCGTTTTTCACAGGCTGGTGTAGAAGGTACTTTTGTCCCAGATACCTACAGCATGTTGTGCATGCAGCCCCTCCAACTTTATTTACCAACAAGTACATACAAAGTCCCAGAGACTGAGTACAGTGCTGGCTGCAAAACAAGCCTGAGGAGCCCATTCAAATCCAAGAGGAGGAGGTAGTAACACTAATCTAGTTTGCAGAGAAACCTTTGATTCTTAAAGTGCATTGTGAATCACTGGTTCTTCTCATATAATAGGCTTTCTGCTAGGAAATTGTGTTACAGAAGACCTGCTACCTTTGTTTGTATTAACAGCCTATTAACATTTAATTCTTGGATTCAGGAAAGGCTTCTTGTTAGTCATCTGCAAACATAATGGTGCACTTGTCTGAAAATTGCGTTCTTCCTAGAGGTTAAATTCTGATTACCAAAGAGATAATTTGTGCTTTGAATTGTTGTCTTCTGTGTGCCTGCCCTGCTGTTTTGCTCATCTCTCTTCCAAACTAACTTTGGCTGAGTGACTTTGGCTTGAGGACTGTATCAGCAGTGAACTAATAACCATGATTATCATAAGGATCACATGAAGAAAACTTTCAGACTACATTCAGCCTGGAGTGACACTTTACCTAAGTTGCAGAAGGCTCAGAAAATTTCTTGTCCAGTCATGTCACATCCCAAGAAAAATGCAGTACAACCTGAATGTGTGAGTGTCAAGCCAGTCATTCAAAGGCAGGAGAGATTCACTGGATAAGATGATGATCAGTGCTACCTGAAAAATGCAGATATGTTAAAAGCAAAGTTTTCAGTAGAGAAAATGCAAAGCAAAAGAGAATTCAAAGTAATTTGTGAGTTTCGTATATTCATCTGCAAAATGGTCTAAACTCAATTTATGATACTTGGTAGGTAAACATTCAGTAGCAGAGAATGTTTCTGTGATAAATCTCCTTTCCAGCTTCTTTCCCTTGAGTGTCATTGAGCAGTTGCTTTCAAACCTTCCGTGACTTCTTCCAACCAAAATTTGTGGTCGGTACTTAGTTTTCATGCTGCTCGATCCTGCTGCATTATCAGTCACTTCTGGACAGCTTCTTTTGAAATGCTGTGCAAGTATTTTCCTAAGTCATAGCTTTGACTGCAGCATCTACCTATCATTCCACTTACGCCCATCTTTTCTACAGCATCATGTTAGTTATTTTTACTGTCAGGCCTACTGTGGCCAACCTCCATACTGTCTGTCGTCTTCTAGTCTGTATAGAAACACAAATTCCCACTACCCGCAAATAACACCTTCCCTGGCTTATCCAATAAATTTTCAAGTAATTGTTTTCATGATTTCTCAGGGAGTGTCCCCTGCACATGAGAAAAGATCTTGCAAAGCTGCCTTCCAGTCCTCCTTCAGACCTCCTCTAGAAATGCATGCTGTGCTGCCTATGAAATGTTTTGCAAAATTTAATCTGTTAGTTTGCAAGGACTGTGGCCCAGCAAGCTATCCTATCATTTCCTGCACTCCTTGGGTCCTTGGACAAGACATGTCTTGTCTTCAAACTGTGATGTTCTTGGGACAAGAGTGGACTTTGTATAGAATCCAGCACACGATGCAGTAAGTTAAAGTTACAAAGAATGATCATGGGAGTACCAGTAGACTATCCAGGCATATGTATAAATGTATATAATTAAATAGCAAGAGATAGTGGTAAATGATGCTTGAAGGTACTGAGGTACCTATTCCTTTCCATTCCTGACTTTAACTGCATTCATAATGCTGCATAACTGAGCAGTATCTTAGTGCTAACAAAGGGATCACCATGTATGTTCTAGGCATATCATTTTGAGAAGAAATATACAAATAAATATATTTTTATTTTTCCCAACAACAACTATCTTACCTTGAGTGCTGTTAATGAGCACATACAGGTTAATTGGGTGATCAGGCCCAGTCAACATGGGTTTATGAAAGGCAGGTCTTGCCAATCAAACCTGATCACCTTCTATGATGGGGTGACCCGCCTGGTTGACGAGGGAAGGGCTGTGGATGTAGTTTTCCTTGACCTCAGTAAAGCCTTTGATAGAGTTTCTCATAGTGTTCTGGTTGAGAAACTGGTAACTGCTGGCCTGGATAGGCACACCCTCCTTTGGGTTAAAAACTGGCTGGATGGCCGGGCCCAAAGAGTGGTGGTAAATGGGGCTAAATCCGGCTGGAGGCCGGTCACCAGTGGGGTTCCCCAGGGCTCAGTGCTGGGTCCAGTTCTGTTTAACATCTTTATCAATGACCTGGATGAGGGGATTGAATGTACCCTCAGTAAATTTGCAGACGACACCAAGCTGGGAGGCTGTGTCGATCTGCTCGAGGGTAGGGAGGCCCTTCAGAGGGATTTGAACAGACTGGATCGTTGGGCTGAGGCCAATGGCATGAGCTTTAATAAGGCCAAGTGCAGAGTCCTTCACTTGGGGTGTAAAAACCCCAAGCATCGCTATAGGCTCGGGGAAGAGTGGCTGGAGAGCTGCCTGGCAGAGAAGGACCTAGGGGTGTTGGTTGACTGCTGGCTTGATATGA